GCAGGGCCGGGCCGAGCGACCCGCTGTCTGAGGGGGCCGCCGCCGGCAGCCTTCCGCAGCTCAGTGGCTCCGTGAGGGGGTTGTGCCTGTGGGGGAACCCCGGGGGAGCCGCCTTCGGGCGGCTGAGTGGTCTCCTGCCGGCCTCCCTTTCCCCGGCCCGACAGAGCTGGTGCGTTTGCTAGGTGGGAAAGCCCAGCAAGCTGCCTCAGCTGTTACTTCTGTTTTCTAGAAGGGTTTTCACGCCCCGCTGTTTTCCTTTCATCGTGACCCGCAGCCATGAAGTGCTGTTAGTCCTCTGTTTTGAACGTTTGTGGTACACGAATCTTTCAGATCTCTGCTGAGACCAGAAGAATGGATCTTGGAAAGCTTAATTTTGGATTAAAAAGAAATGTGACGTTCATTTACCTTCATTGCTTTCATTGCATGCAGTAGAAAATGTAGTTTAACCCCCATTTTAGTGTCTGTGTATTGTGCTGTACAACAGTTTTTCCTTTGAGAGGGAAAAAATTGTAAAATGTGATAATTACTTTGAAAAGTTTTATTCACAGCTCGAAGGAAAAAAAGCAGATGTAAATTAAGTTGAACTGAAGAGGTTCTGACAGAAAACAGTTTTGTCATGTGATGCTGTCAGTGTTAAGGAGGCAGCTGTCCATAATGTGAGTAACTTCTGTTTGCAACAGTATTCAAACACTAAAATGCAAAGGACAAATGTCACATTGCAGAGGAAGAACCTGCTAACTTCTATTAATTTAATTACTCAAGACTTGTTTTACAGAAATATAGTAGCACAGGGCTGTATGCTTTTGTAGTCCCATCAGGTGTTACATGCTACAGTGCTATTTACTTGAACAGGTATTCAAAGTTATGTTAATATCCAGAGCCGTTAACTCATCACGTGTGCAAAATCTGCTCACATGAATTGTCTCCTTACTTGCTCATAATTAAATCAGTGGAGAGCTTTTACTGTTTGAGTAAAGTTAAACACATCTCTAGTATTCAACAAGGAGGTTATGAAACAAATACATAGAGCAAGTGGGTGTTTTGGTTTTTTTTCTGAAAAAAAAGGCCTTTTAAGGAATTGCATTTTAGCACATATCTATGGCTGGCCCAAGGGTAACTATGCAGTAACTATCAACAAACAATTCAACAGGGAAAATAATACTGTCTTAAGATATCCGTGTGAAGAAGTTGGTGCTGTACAAATCTCAGCAAAATGACCTATCAAGGTTATAAGTTGTGTTAAACAAAGTAGTGCAATACCTTAACTGTAAAATACACTTTTCTGTCATTGATGGATCAGTTAATGTAACTTTTAAAAAACGCAGTTGACTTTTAATGTTTATTAGAAGTAACCAGAAAAAATTCTTAGATGGGGCATTGCAAATTTCTGCCAAGTTCCAAGAAAGTAAATGCCAGAAGTCTCATTGAGGAATGTGACCCATTCTGAAACAGCAGCAAAACGTACATTTCTACATCCTTTAATAGGCAGAGCATTTATATAAGGAATTTAAAAGTTTCTGTAGTGTGTTCCTATGATTTCAACAAGTAAGACAATGTCATAAAAATGTTACTTCTGTTGGGTTTCAGCTTGTAGAGGTTTTTTTTTATTGAGTTACTGATCTTTGCAAGGAATGTGCACAAGTTCATTTTGCAGATGTATTTGCAGAACTTTCACATTGACTGCAGAGGGCGGTACAGTACTTGCAAATTACTTGTGAATGCTCTTTATTTGATATCCGTATTTCATATTTAGAGGAAAAACTTGATTTTTTTTTTTTTTTGTAATTCACGTCTACAAAAATTGCATGGAATTAAGTTATCTTTCAACCTGTGCGGTTCTGTGAAGCAACTGCTTAAGAAAGGGCAACTGCTTTTTCTTTTCAGTCTTGTTCAGCAAAGAAAGAGAAAACTAGGGGCACCTATATTGCAATTATATAAGTTATGAACCATGTAAAATGTACAATCGCTCAAGGGTAAGAGTACCTCAGCACAGAAGGATGTTTCAGTAGGTGCTGTGATGATCTCTTGTAGATACAGATAAGTAGGAAATGGGTATATGCAATATTGCTGCAGAAACTTTCTCTAACGAACACTGTCAGTAGCATGGGTTAATTAACTGAACAGTAACTAAAGTATTTAAGTTTTTCCAAAGGGGATATGTTAATAGTTTGTATTGCCTCTGCTGTGGCCAGGTAGCAATGGTCTCTTGTGCTATGGATTCAAGTCTATTTTTCAGTAGCCCTTGGGTTTTTTTTGGTTTTGTTTGTTTGGTTGGTTTTTGATTTTTAAATGGAACTCTCACCTGTTTCTGATTTCCAAGTGGAGATCCAAAGATAATATAAAACGTTGCATGTGGAACTGAACATCTGTTGCATTTCTGTACAGTTTCATTGGTGAATTTTGAGATACTTGCACTGGGAAGGGAATGACCGGTAATCTGGATAGAGCTTTCCATTTCAAGTGGTAATCCTTCTGTGCTCTGTTGATTTCTGTGCAAACAACTGTTGAATTGGAAAGCCCAGATTCAGATCCCATGTGTATCTTGCTAGAAGAATGCTTTCATCACCAGACCTGTAGTAGTACCTGTAACTACTGAGGTGAAGTTGCTCTTTACTGTGTAGCAGGCAAGGCAACTTTAACTGAATTCCAGGCTGCAGAGTAGGAATTAGGTGCTATTGCTTTCTGTGTGAAGCTTGCTCCTGCAAGTGGCTGCCAGGTGTGCTGTCAGCTCACTTAAGAGGAAGGCATAATTAGTAGATTATTATTTGATTTGGTATAGCATAGATTTCAAACTGCATACTGTGGTCAAGACTAAAGTGCCTGAGCAAATGAAGATGATCTTTAGCTTTTCTTTTATACTGTGTTTATGAATTAAATACTTATGTTAGCTGTGACTGCTTCTAAATGACTTTGAGAGGGAAAGTACTTGAAAAATGCACGTTCTGTTTTGTTACTTTTGTTAATTCTCATTAAAAGACTGTTAACTACATAACTACTTTTTAATCTCTTTTCTGTTCAGAAACCAGTGACCTTTGTTTTTCCTGCAATTTCAAAAAAGCCACATGCAATTTTTACACTAAACATGGAACAAGTGGTTTTAATTGTGTAACAGAGCTCTCTTTTACTCTTTTTTTTTTTTTTTAAACCCAGAGAGGATCAAAATATATTTCTGCATCACTTTCAGAATATAGTTTTCCATTTGATTTAAATTCTTCTTTTTATACCACTTCTAATAGTAATTTCCTGCTAAATATCTAAGTACTGCTTGTATATGTAAAAGCAAATATTATTCTGTGCAGAGGGGAATAGATACTTGTTCAAGATTTCCTTAAAACATGGTGGTGACTTTTTTTTTAGTTACAAGATTATTATTGAGTCATTACTGCTGGTATGCCTCTTTCTTCTTCTATAGGGCTTGATTCTTTTCTCTTCTTTGGGTTATATGCTGAAGTCAAAATGTATTCCTCAGGTGGTCATAGACATTAGATTAGTGCTGGCAGTTTGAGATGCTTTTCTATGCGGCAATATTATTGGAAAGCTGAGAGAACGTCATCCTTCTGCAGGGGGTTGATAGGAAATGCATATAGTGCTCTGAAGAGAATAATAACCATTTCTGGAGATCTAGTGCTGGCTTTTGCTCTCATTGAAGTCAGTGGGAGTTTTGCTACTGACTTCAGTGAAAGTAAGATTAGGTCCTTTGTCATTTTATCATAATTTTTTGACATAGACCAGGTTATATGCTGGGAGACAAACTGATTTCAGTCCTGACTTACCGTGGAGAGTTACTGTGTTTAAGGCCAAGTGTAAGTTTGCATCCTGAGCTGTGAATTCTGTATTTTACATCCTCTGAGTTCAGAAAATCACTGTGAGTTACAGGATAATGTTCAGTAGACATTTAAGTATAACTGTGCAGTAAGTGATTTTGGTGTGGACCAGCAAAATCTCAAGGGGATAAAAAATTTTGTATCACCTGGTAATCTGAGTGCTAAATCTGTGTTGTAAAATAGTTTGAACAAAAGCTTTGCTTATTACAGTGACATGGTGAGGATTTTTGTTAGAAGTGCAGGAAATTGAAATTGATAGTTTTTCAGGTACTGGAATGTAATGTCTTTGTGATTATGATTCTTATTGCTCAAGGTGGTGTTATTTTTCTGTTTTGGGGCACCGTGTGACTGACTAAAAATTGCAGTGAACACCATGATCAGTGCTGTCTGGGTGCTGTATGTCTAGCTTATACCAA